TCGCCGGTGCATAAACTATACATCATTCGATGCAGAATTTAATTCTACATTACATGATGTTAGTTTGATGAACGCGTGATATTCGTGAAGAGAGAAACATTGCGTCCGAAAATTGGACCCATTGCCAAAAAAGTGTACACTTTCAGGGTTTCAACTCCAAGTATCTCTCTTCGTGAATATCGCCGGTATATTAATTATATATCATTCGATGCAGAATTGAATTATACATTAGATGATGTTAGTTTCATAAACAGGTGACATTCGTGAAGAGAGAAACATGGCGTCCGGAAATTGGACCCATAGCCAAAAAAAGTGTTCACTTCCAGTATTTCAACTCCAACTTTCTCTCTTCCTGAATGTCGTCCGTCAATGAAAGTAACATTATCTGATGTAGAATTAAATGCTGCATCGAATGATGTGTAATTTATGTACGGGCGATATTCAGGAATGTCGAAAGTTGGGGTTGCAATACTCCAAGTGATCACTTTTTTGGCTGTGGGTCCGATTTTCGGATTGAAGTTGTTGGTTCAATTGTAAAACATTTTGTTAGTCTTGATTCACGAGCACTTTGAATTGTAACACGAGTTGTTAATCTTGATTCACGTGCACTTTCGTTTGTTACACGAGTTGTTACTCTTGATCCAGGTGTTGTTTGAATTGTAACAAGAGTTATTACTCGTGAATCACGTGCTCCTTCAATTGTTGCACGAGTTTTTATTGTGCATCCAGGTGTTGTTTCAATTGTAACATGAGTTGTTACTCTTTATTCATGTGTAGTTTCAATTGTAGCTAGAGTTGTTAGTGTTCATCCACCTGTTGTTTCATTAGGAACAGGAGTAGTAGTTTCTGTTGTTGCTGATCGACTTGGTTTCGTTCAAACAGTGGTTGGTAGTGTTGGCGATCTATTTGGTTTCGTTGGAACAGTGGTTGGTATCGTTGTTATTCGAGTTTTTTTCGTTCAAACAGTAGTTGGAATTTTTGTTGATCGACTTGTTTTCGTTGGAACAGTAATTGTTAATGTTGTTGATCGACTTGTTTTCGTTCAAACAGTAGTTGCTATTGTTGTTGATCGACGTGTTTTCACTCAGACACGGGTTATTGCTCTTGTTGATCGACTTGTTTCCGTTGAAACATGAGTTCTTTCTCTGGTTGAACGACTTGTTTTTGTTGAAGCAGGTGTTGTTACTTTTTATGTACCTGTTATTTTTAGACGAATACATGTTGTTCTTCTTGATAGTGTCGGTGTTTTTAATTAAGCATTGCTTTGGTTAATTAATAGATCATTTTTTTCATATAGTTTTTTTTTGGGGGGGTATTCATCAGTGGCCGTGTTATATTTTCTTTCATCTGGGATGACTAAATTACAATTGTTCAATGATTCGTTTGTGTCGAGTGAAGTGTATCGTTCATTTCATAACAACCATTCAATCGGTAACTTGTCGTCATCGTGTATTCAATTTTTTCTATATTTATTCTATTCTCGTGTTTTTTTGTATTTTGTTGTTTTTTTTGCGTTTTTTCTTTGTTTTTCTGTAATTACTCTTCTTATTATTAATTGTTTCTGTGTGCTTTTTTTTCTTCTAAACTTTCAATGGCTGGATTTGATACATCTATTCCAATGTATGATACAAGAACAGGAAGATTTACTATGTATGGGCGCAACTATTTACGTTCGTTTTATGCTGAAACACCTTCTCCAGGTGACAATCAGTTGAACAAAATGGCTGAACAAATAGGTTGTCCAAAGTTAAAATTACAAGTAAATAAAATTATTTTTGAAACGTTTGTTGCTATGATTCTTGTTTTTAAGAGCAAATTCATAAGTATGCGACAGTATGACAAAACGAAAGTAAAAAATACAACAAATTCCAATGACCAACCCAACTCTTCACAACCCTTACTTCCACAGTCTTCACCTGTACAAACACCTGAAATATCAATACCTATTCAATTCCTCAACAACATTTCAACAGCTCAAGCCATCGCGCTCAGAGATAAAATTTTGTCCAAGCCTCAACACAAGCTGCTCATCAATCCTAAACATGTCGATGAAGAAATCAAACCAGAAGAAATTAGTACTTTCACGAGTGTAGCATCAAAAGATGGTAAGTGACTTCATAATTATTTTATTCAATGTATGCGGTACTCTTCATAGGGAAATTTTTCGACGACTGGATGTCCTGCCTCATTACTCCCACCAATCTTCAACATCCACCAACTCTTTATCCAACAACAAAATTGATCCCCACCGGTACTTGCAGCAAATGTGTACAACCAAATATCACAGATTTTTACAAAGAGAAAAATATTAAAAGCCTGAGTATATTAAATCATCATATTGCTCTTCGCGCGAAATTACCACGCTTTCAAGCTCTATCGAGCGCATCAAATGAAACCGGTAAGCAAATATCTACTTTTAATAATTTAATCTTTCTTGTCTTTAACAGCCTCTCATCTGTGCGACACTAAAGGCTGTTTACGAGAGGAACATCTAGTAATTGAAAACTTCAAAACCAATTATAGCCGAACGTGTTGTCCAGGTGTTATTTTGTCCTTAAAATCACAAGATCCATCAAAACCCAAACAAATTATTCAATGTGAACCTTGCTCCCATGGCATTAATCATCCCGAAGCAAACGGCGATCCTTTAAAATTTACCTGTCGAAAAATCCAAGTGTTACTCCAAGATCAACAATCTCTCGAATACTTCGCCAACCTTCCCTAATTCTTTTTATATTGTTCTGTGTCTATAAATAAATATAAATAAAAAATAAATATAAAACTTTCAATCAAGCTAATAAAACAAGGAAGTGAGGCGTGGGTGTCAGTGTGGGTGTTGGTGGGTGTCGGTAGGTGTGGGGGTGCTTATCGGGGGGGGGGGGGGGCTGGGGTTGGCTGCGAGTCTGCGTGTTGGACGGTGTGCATGCGTGTTGGTGGGCGTGCGTGCCTGAGGGGAAGGGGTAAAAACCATACTACCTTTCCTCCCAAGTACACTAAAGTACAGAAGTACAGAGAACTATCAAACAATACCGAGAACTACCAAGAAGCTCTAAGAACTACCGAGAACTATCAAGAAGTACCGAGAGGTACCAAGAAGTATCAAGAAGTACCAAGAAGTTACAAGAAGTACCCACAAGTACCTACTAGTACACAGAAGTACCGAGAAGTAACCAGAAGTACCGAGAAGTACCAACAAATACCTAAGGTACCAAGAAGTGGGAAGAAGCATCGATAAGTACCAAGAGGTTCCAAAAAGTACCGAGAAGTACCGAGAAGCGCCGAGAAGCACCCAGAAGTACGGACAAGTACCGATAAGCACCGAGAACTACCGAGAAGTACCAAGCAGTGCTAAGAACCACCGAGAACTGCGGAACAGCACCGGGAAGTGCCGAAAAGTACCAAGCTGTGCTAACAAAGTACCAAGAAGTGCCGAAAAGCACCGGGAAGTTTCAAGAAGTACCGGGAAATACCGAGAAGTACCGAGAAGCACCCTGAAGTACCGAGACGTACCGATAAGCACTGAGAAGTGCCGAGAACTACCGAGAAGCATCGGG